CTGCTACAATAGGAGCTACAGTCCCAGTCCTCACTCCGTCTTCTCTCTCTTACGCACAGTGTCTCACTATTATTATTATTATTATTATTATTATTATTATTATGATTCTTAATTACATTGTCCTTACTGTGCAGGTGTGACGATGAAAACACAGTTCACCCCAGCCGCAAACACACACCGACACTGTACCAGACTGCGCAGAAGACGACAAGTGCCTGAAGTGAGACTGTTTTTAAATGTGGAATTACTAATAAAAGATGATCAGAACACGTCGACACAAGTATTGACACCGTCTTAGCTTCTCAAGCTTTAGGAATCTTAACCCTCTGGAATATGACGTAAGCAGCCCTTTAAGCGCAGTGCCCCACACAGACGAGCACAACCCAGACAGAGGAGGCTCATGCATTTATTCTACCGGTGTGTTTCTCAGACGATTACAGCGCGGTGCGACTCGTGCTGCGCTTCTCACGGAGGGGCAGCTCGAGCCTGCGAGTCTCGCTCGCGCATCGCTAGTGCAGCGAGGGCTGCGCGAGGGTGGATGGGTTTTTTTTTTGTGAATGGGGGGTCACGTGATCGGGACCAACCGTTATTCCAACTTTAATAATCGAGCCGTCCTAACACCCGACCGGCCAGATATCTCGCAGCGGCTGTGAAACGCGCCCATAGGTGACCCTCCCCTCGACTTATATCGCGCAGTCAGGTTTCTGTCCCTAGTCAGACGACAGATATTGACAGTACTTGAGAATGCAATTGTTTGAAATTAAAAATCCACATTGTCATGGAAAGCCTGACCCGGCGCGGAAGGAGAGAAGATGCGCGGCCCATCGGGAGCTCAGACGAGCCCGAGGCAGAGACGGGACTGCGCTCAGAGCCAGTACAAACCCAGCCCGAGCCCGAGCCCTGTGACCACACGAACCGGCCCCGGCCCGGGCCGGAGCGCCACACCGAGCACACCCCACGGCGGGATGAACAGCCCTGGGGCAGGGCGGGTGCGGTCCTCAGAGGCGTCTCAGTCTCCGTCACGGATATTCCTGTTATCCGCCCGGGCGGCCCGAGACGCCGCGGAGCGCTTCCCTGCCCGCCCGCCCGGCCGCTCGCGCCTCGCGCCTCGCGCCTCGCGCGCACGCACGGCACGGACTCACACCCAGGCGGCCCCGCTATTTTATGAATGAAAACGCGACGCGGAGCAGAGCGATTCAGAAACTCGTCCCCTCGGCGTTTCCCTGCATATTCGGCCGAGACGCGTCCATGTATGTGTGCGTGTGGGGGTGTGTGTGTGTGGTATTTGAGGAGCGGGGAGCAGGAGAGGAGAGAGAGAGAGAGTCGGAGGGAGGGAAGAGAGAGAGAGAGAGGTGTTGGGAGAGGGGGAGGAGGTGGGAGAGAGAGCGGCAGGGAGAAAAAAAAAAGATCAAATTCCATTCATAAAGTTTGGCTTTAAAAAATCATAATGAAACCGAGGGACTCGTTGAGAAAAACAAAAAAATCCCATCGACGGCGCCTGCCTCCTCCTCCCCTCACTATCACCCACACCCGCCGGCGAGCTCCCCCGTCACCGCGGCGGAAGGGCGCTTGTGAACCCGAGAGTGGGCAAGAAACAAATACAATGATTTAAAAAAAAAACAAACACACAACAAAATCGCCATATTCTAGCCGCTTCGACAACACCGTGCGAACATGCCCCGACAGCACTAGGGAAGGTGGTGAGAGAGCTGTCTCTCTCTGTTCGTCTCAATTTCCAGCGGTTTCCCACCGCTAAATCCAGACTACCGTAAAGGTTTGTACCTGTCTCATCATACGGCACTGATGCGTAGCTGCTATTTAACAAAACGTCAATAATATTGCAGTTGCCATCTCTACATGACGGCTGAACCTACATCTGAACGCTCTGTTTCTGTGGACGCCGGGTGGGTGAATGATTTTCATCTATGACTGAGCCGGGCTGATTTTCTGAACATGTATACGTGTGTCTGTTTGTGTGTGCGCGTATATGTGTGTGTGTGTGAGTGAGAGAGAGAGAGAGTGTGTGTGTGTGTCAGTGAAACTGTTGGAAATAACGCAAAATATTGCCTGGCGAAAGACGACCGTCTCACTCATCTGATTTTATTTTTATTTTTTTTAAAAAGGGGAAAAAAAAACCTCGAGACTCACTCGCGCTCCATTGCTCGGTGTCGCCCGCCGCCTCGAGCTCGCTGCCCCCCGGTCTGATGTATGGTTCCTTTCCCCCCTCGCGCTCTCTCTCTCTCCCTCACGAGCGAGCACACACGCACCCTCTCTCTCACGCTCTCTTTCGCTCTCTCTTTCTCGCTCTCCTCTCAGCCGCTCATGTCTTTATCTTCTTCCCTTTCTCCCATCTTTCATGTCCTCTCGCCGTGTATCAGGAAGGGGCTCCGGCGCGCAGCAGCCATTTTCCGCTCGCCGCGGTAGCATCCTCCCTCCCTCCCTCCGTCTCTCTCCCTCTCTCTCTCTCTCTGCCTCGCTCTCTCTCTCTCCCTAATCACTCCCTCCCTCCTTCACCTCTTCCCTGCCTGCGCCTGCCGGTTTCCCTTCAAACTGTGTTTCCCGAACACCGGACTCGGACAGACGGACAGAAGGGGCGACAGAGCTCAGGGGCCGGATGGGTGACTGACGGGCTGACCGCGTACAAGCTGCGTGAAGACACCCCAAAAAACACACACACACACTAATTGACTGCAAGACACCGCCACTGTTACAGACTACGTAAAAAGGCAGATCAGCCCACCGACACACTCTGTGCATTAAGACACACACACTGACTGACCTACTGACTGACAGTACACCCGTACTCCCACACACTGCTCACACACACTGACTAATCGATTGCCGGATACTATTAAAGATTTAATAACAGCGCACAAAGCAACACACCTTCAGAAACACAGCGACAGGCAAGCACGTACACATACTCACACACTCACACCACACACATCCACACACCGCAGACATACACACACAATCGCACACCCTCACAGACTCACTCATGCACAAACTCACACCACACGCACATTCGTGCACTAATACACACATTGACATACGCTCAATCATACACACAATCACACACACCACACACACTCACACACACACAAAACAGAGGTTCTGGCCGAGACTGCTCACCCGGCAGAGGACGAAGGAAACTTTCCGCAGGGAACTGGGCTGTGTCCGGGTGTGGACATGCAAACTGCTGACCCTCTGGGGGCGAGGCTGAAGGCCCGAGCAGGTGACGTATGAAAGGTTAAACTCACACCTCTGCGTCCGAGGGGTCCGCGAGAAAGCCCGTCTCGGACACACTCCCTGTTCGTCCGCGCTGCGCTGCGTGGGAGCTGTCCGCTGTCCGCGGTGCTGAAAGGCCCCCTACAGTTTTTGTTCCACTTCCTTTCCGGCAGAATGTGGATGGGAGTCCTCTCAGCCCAAGCAAACATCTGTGTTAATGGGCGGGGGTCCGAGAGGAGAGGGCTTTCAGCACCACGGACAGCTCCCCCACGCCCGCGGCGCGCTGACACGCGGAGACGCAGCCTGCATGGGCCAGCGCTGAGGACCCCCTCTGCCCGCCAACACCGGGACCTCCCTGGGTGGGAGCCCACCGACCGCAAGGGGGACTGGATTGCCGGGCTTGGCGGCCACTCAGTTCAAGGCTGTCGCGTATAACATGCGGGAATCCCAGCAGCCAATGAGCCACAGGGATACGAACCACTGGGAAAAGAAAACCGGTCTTTTTCGCCCCTGAGCCCTGAAAGGGCGACTCTACGGCACGGAGGGGCTTCTGCGGTCGCGTTCGCGCTGGAGCGCGTGGGGGGGGGGGGGGTCGCCCGCACAGTCCCCCCGCGTGCTGTTGACAAACCCAGGCTGGACGCCGAGCTCGTGGGAGAAGCCGGGTGGAGCCGCGAGGCAGCGGTGGTCCCGCCCTGGGGTGTCCGAGCGGTGGCGCAGGTCTACCGAGAGGAGGGAGGGAGGGAGGGAGGAGGAGGAGAAGAACGCACGCATGTAGCGCGTTTCCAAATAAATCATCTCAAAACGCTTTCAACTGCAGTCAAGACACGTTTCGCCGTCCAATCAAACGACAGAAATGGATGTATACTGTAAAGCACAAAGCGGATGCGCAAACAAAATGAAAACGATTAAGAAAACGTCTTTGGGGGGGGGGTAATTATTAGATTCCATGTAATAAACACCACCACACTATTCCATGTAATAGGGCACCACGGGACTCTGTGTTGTTTCCTGGGAGGGAGGCTGTCGCGGACAGAAGGTCGGAATCCCAGCCCAGGAAGGTGTCTGTCGTGTCTTGTTGAACTGTAGGGATGAGCCGACGTGCTCGGCCGGTCTCTGAGGAGAGAGCGATACGGGAGTCGAACTGCAGGCGTGCGGCACCGCGGTAGTGTCGCTCTCGGCTCTCACTACGGCTCTCACTGGAGTGGTGGCCGGCGAGATTTAGGGATAACTTCGGCCACGAAAGTGCCCGGAAAACAAGTAATCCGCTAAAAATAAATATCTGTCACGGACAACGACCGCGTTTCAAAACACCGGGGGGGGTCGGTACTGACAGACCCGTCACTGCGGGCGGCGCGCGTGGGGTCCCGGGGCGCCTCTGTTTTCATTCGAAACGGTTCCAAGAGCGATAACGGACGCGTTTGTTTTCCAAACTTTTCATGTGTCTCCGCGCCACGGAGGGAGACTCGTGAGAGAAAACAGCCTCACGTTTACTCGTGATCCACTCCACCTCCGGCCTCAATCAGCCCCCCACCTGCCCGGACAGGACCCCCGCCTTCCAGTGACCGGCGGCCAGAGCTTGAGGTAACCGGCAGGAGGCGCTGTAGCTGGTCGGGGTCGGGGCCGTGGAAATGGACAGCAATCTCACATGTCCAGCCGCAGAGACAACTGAAGTACCCCCCGACAATGAGCCGGACATTATACGCTACCTGCGGGAATGCTGAAAGACGCGCTCATAGAGTAGAATTAGCCTGTAGTCTAACGCTGAGACACAGTCGTTCATTGTAACGACGGGTTCACTTTACGCTGGGGGCTGATGCAGTTAAGTACAATACAGTCTCATCATTACCCGATAGCAGAGCCCGTGACAAGGAGCTGTAGTAGTCGAGGTACCATGATTATCAGCAGTTTCCTGCCTTGAGAACTTAGGGAATTGTGTACCAATTTGGTTGGGAATAGGAGTTGCCGTTTATGACGGTTATTCAAACGTGTTTAGATCATGACCATTTCCGAGGCAACTCAAGTTTCTACAGTGTTAAAAAAAATAGTGCAGAAACAACTGGAATGTTATAAACAAGAAGTTAATTATTAAATAATTTGATAATATGTAATAATAAATGCAAAGTTATAATCACAGGCTCTAAATAGCAGTGGCTGTAGCAGGAATAGCATGACTGGCAGTAATAGTAGCAACTGCAGCAGGAACAGCAGGAACTACAGTATGAATAGCAGCAACAGCAGTAATAGCAGCAGTGGCAGTAACTGTAGCAGGAATAGCTG